ATGGGGAGAGCGGACAGGGGGCGGGGTGCCAGTGGCAGCAGAGAGTTCCCTGCATCTGCCTCCTCCCAGGATTCTCCCCCCCGAATCGCTGGAAGTGGAGCTAAGTTGCAGGACTTCTGTCCATCTCTGGGAAGCTGACACTACCTCCATTTTCACTTGAGGTAGGTAGTGGGGAAATGGGGGGGCCCCCCCGCGGGCAGGACGCCTCACAATCAACTGGTCAAGGCCTTGTGATCGACCTGTTGGTGTCCACAGCCCTAGACTCTCAGCAGTTGTGAACAGGTGACAGCCATGGATCACTAATGATTGCCTGGTCTGTTCATTCCCTCTGGTTCACCTAGCATTAATCAGTCAGACAGAATATTGAGCTAGATGGACCTTAGGTCTGACATAACATACTATGTATGTTATTAATGACAAAATACAGGAATTCCGGCTCCGCGCCCCCCTCCCCTTCCCTCCCACAGCGCGGCCAACCCCTGCGGGCACCTGCCTTGGGGCCAAATCCCCCTCCCGCGGCACAGCCCAGCCAACCCCCTCCTCTCCCGCAGCGTGGCCAAACCCCGGGGCCGACCCCCGCTCCCGCGGCGCAGGGAAACCCCTGCGTTCGATTCATCCCTCCAGCACCGGCGGCGCAGGGAAGCCACCGCACTCCTCCCCCAGGGCTGATACTCCCTCCCCCAGCACACAACAGAGCTGTGGGAGGGGAGCAGCCCGCGCACTTCTGGAACCCCCGGATGTGACACGGGCTTCAGACAGGACTTCCGTCCACCCCGCGGGAAGCCGGCACTACAACAGAGTTAGGTAGTGGGGCTTCTTGGGGGTGAAGGAAAAATGGGGGGTGAGGGTGCCTGAACGCCTCGCGATCGACTGGTCGAGGCCTCGCGATCGACGGGTTGGTGACCACAGATCTACATGTTTTGTTAGTCTTTAAGGTGCTACTGGACTATTTGTTGTTTTTTATGCATTCAATGCCCTTGCAACACATAGCACACTAAAACAAGTTCTTAGGTGAAAGAGATAACAGCATAGGTTAGATTTTCTGGTATCCTCTTTGTCCTTCCTAATGTTTCCTCAAACAGAAAACTACCTTAACATATTGCCTAAATTAGCAGAGTGGTGAAAAAGACAAGCTGATGACATCTCGTGAACTACAATTCACTTGGTAAGAAAGCTGTTAACAGGCTCACAACTTGTCACAAAGAAGGACAAGATGTTCTGGAGACCAAGATGAAATCTATCTTCCTTTCAGAAGTATCTGTCTGGGCTCATGAGGGTAATCTCTTGGAGAAGGATTTTAGTCTTTTTTTTGTGTGTGTGTGAGGGAGTCTGAACTAATGAGGAGAAAGAAGTTTGAACACAAGCATGATTCAGGGCACAATCAAGCTGTAACTGAGGGGGGTAGTAAGAAATGTCCCTTAGGGAAGGGGTGGGGAACTTTTGGGTAGAGGCCGCTGACCCACAGAAAAATCAGTTGTGGGCCAGGGGCCAAAGGGAGGAGGCAGAGGGGCTAGCATGCCAGCGCAGGCTCCCAACTGCTGGAGTAGGCCCTAAGCCTCAGGGCCCAGATCCAGGCAACCCAGGGACTGTATCCAAGGGAGCCATTTCAGGAGGGTGTGGGGGAGGGGCAACAGCTGTGCCCTCTGGGACACAACTTCCTTTTCATCCCGTTCCCCGGACGCTAAGGGAGTGAGGGGAAAATGCTTGCAGTCCATGCATGCCTCTCACACCTGGGTGGTAAAGAGAGCTCTTTCCCCTCACTCCCAGAATGCACGGCTGCTGCCCCTATTACCCTCCCGAAATGGCACCCTTGGCTGCATCTGACCCCCATGCCTTAGGTTCCCCACCCTGCCTTAAGGTATATATATTCCATAATTCCCCACTTCAGGGTTCTTTGAAGCATTGGTTCTGACCATCATTAGAGACTGGATGTTGAACTGGAAGGACCATTGGTCTACTCCCTTATGGCAATACTTGCATTGCTATATGGTAAAGTTCACATAAGTTACATGGGATATACTTTTTTTTATTCATCTCAGAGTATTAACTCTAAAGCCTAGTTTTGGCTACCAGTCCCTCCAGAGCAGCCTTTATTCTTCATGCAATAACAGATACTGAAGTTTAACCCAAAATAATATTTGCAGTAATCGAGAAAACTTTTGTTCTTAATTATGTTTCTTCACTATCCTTGATGTTAAACTTTGGTAAAGATTGTTAGAAATTAGCCTTTCCTTTGTATTCTTTATTCTTTATTATTATTATTATTACTACCACAATTCAACAAATAAATGTTTATAAAAAGGGAAACTCCTTCCTTTGCAATCCTTTGCAATAATGTATTTAAGTAATTTAGCAAAGAGGCTGCCTTTACCTCATCCTGAAACCTGATTATGATTAATGCACACTTATATCACTATGCAAGAAACAGCAAAAATATTAAATTCAGTAATACTTAAGAACAAAATCTTACACACTGCAGCTGTTTTAAATAAGCCACTCCAAATAAAGGACCCCAATTCTGCAAGCCATACCTAACCAGCAAACCAAAGCACTTAGCATGTGCTGAAGCCAAACTAGAGCTAGTGCTTCCCTCACCTTTGAACAGCTTCTAAAGAAAGTCATCCTCGCAACACCTCATGAAACTTATAAGGTACACCTACAGAGCAGCGTTATTTTGGAATAACTGACATATTCCAAAATAACATAGTGCACATCTACATTACAAACCTTTATTTCAAAATAATGTAAAGTTGGAGGACTTCTTTCTCCGACTCCTGAAACCCTCATTTCAAGAAAAATAAGGGAAGTCGAAGGAAAAAGGCTTTTCCTTCAACTTCCTGCTGCATAGATAGCACCAAAAGCCGACTTAAGGTATTTCGACTTCAGCTACGCAATTGACGTGGCAGAACTTGCGTAGCTTAATTCAACATTAGCCCTGCTGTGTAGACGTATCCATAGGAATTAAAGAAAATTCTCTAAATCATTAGGACATTTAAACTCCTTTTATGTGGTCTGAAATGCAATAAAAATAAAAATGGTAAATTAAAAGAGTTCACAAAATATGAATAATTGTTCAATAATTTAATTCAACAAGGCTTCACAGCCATGACAAGCTATACAGGTGTTACCAAGGGCTGGAGCTACATACTGGGTTTGTCTATTTGTCAGCAGCTATATAGTCTGATGCCATTTTCGCCATGTTTCTCTATCCTGTGTCTATTTGTCAGCCGCTATATAGTCTGATGCCATTTTCGCCATGTTTCTCTTTCCTCTCAGTATGGATTGGTTTCTCCTCATCATTTTTTTTATAAAAAAAAATCTGTGCATTTGCCTTAGTTTTGCACATTTTATTGTAGACAGGTAGTGTGCTAGTATGAAAGCTCTATGTAGAAATCTGTAGTATTCTAGCTGGATGATGTTTTATTTGTTCTTTTCAATGTCAAGAATATTGGTTTCAGTTCATAGAATTTTAGTTGAGTAAACAGTCATTTGATTTGCTGGACATGATAGTGAATTTGCCAGGTCTCATTTATAATGTAACTCTGTTTTAGCACAACAGTCATACACTTCTGTTCCAGAAACCAAGCTTTCACCTGGGGGTTGGGCTGGAGCTGAGAGTCACATGGAGAGAGCAGCCTGTATTTTCAAGCAGTCTGGAGCTGCAGCAGACAGGGAGCCCAACCTGCCTTGGGAGTGCTGCAGGGCTGCTGGTCAGGAGATGCTTAGGGTAAGCACCTCCCAGCTAAAGCCTTCCTCTGGCACCCCGGCCCCTCCCACAGCCCAAATCTCTCCCCCAGATCACCATTCAAACCCTCTGCATCCCCCTAGCCCAGGTCACAACTCCTTCCCAGACTCTGTATCCCTACCTACACCTCTCCCCAGGCCAGAATCTTCTCCTACACCTATACTCCCTCCCTGACTCCACTCCCCAAACCTCTCCTTTACCCACATTTCCTCTTAGACCTTACACAGTCTCCTGTACCCAGTCCCTTACCCCGTATGCCCTTCTGCACTCAATCTCCATTCTAGACCCCACATCTCCTCCACAGAAAAGTGCACTCCTGACCACTTTTCAAAAACTTGGAGTGCCCCCCATCAAAAAATGACATACAACTTCACCTTAAGCTGACAGTGACAGGGCAGGAAAAGTGTAAGTTGTTTATTTGATACTATGTGTGGTATTCAACACTCAGTTTTTCTTACCCAGGGAATGATGAAGTGTTCCTCCCATACCTAGTAATTGAACTTTACATGTAAACATGCCACAGGCCTGACCCTGCACACCGATTACATCTTAAATCCTCACTGGTTTTGATTTGAGAGCACAAGAAATCATCCCTCTTGAGTTAATCATCAGCCCACCACATTCTTGTACACGATGCATGTGTCTGCATGTTGCACAAACAGTTCACTTGGAAATCACAGGCTTCCAACTTCTCCCAGCCCTGCAGAGATCACGGGGTATATGCAAATCTCAAAAACGGGCCAAGTTTCAAACTTGTATTTGGATGCTGCCTCGCCTCAGGACATGGGATCTTCAGACAACATCCTCGGCTAAGAAAACAGTCGCTGCTGTTATCCCTGCGAGTGGACGAGGGGAATAGAGGTTCATGTCACTCTGGGAGTGTGAGAGGCGCCCCTAGTCTTTGTTACTTACCTTGTGCATTTCACAGGTGCCTTTGAAGACGCCCCGAAAGCCCCTGGCTCTATGCGGAGTACGTGACAGGCTCAGGGCAGTCCCAAAGCAGCAACTCAGCATCTTGCAGCTCCGCTTGCAGGGCGCGCGGAGAACGGCTCGTGACCTGGGCTGGGGAGCCGAGCCGCCGCCTTTCTACTCACCGTCCCGCTGCCCCAGCGCCCGGCGGGGAATGGGGGTACTTACCCCTCGCCCCCCCCCTCCTGCCCCCATTCGCACAAAGCCTCCGCCAAGCCGGCCAGGGAAAAGCAGCCCTCCGGGCTCGTCCAAACACTGCGCAGCCATTGCCTCCCCGCCCCCTTACCTCCTCCTCCTCCAGCCGCAGGCGCACGCCGCCCAGAGGAGCAGCGCTGTGGCGAGGGCTAGGCCGTAGGTGCAGAGCTGCAGCTCCCAGGGGCCCATGCTAAGGAAGAGCGAGCGCGTCTCCTGCTCCCGCCGCTGCTGCCAAAGCTGCTTCGCCCTC